CCCCCCACCTCCCCCACCCCCAGCCCAGGCCTGAGGGCCAGGGTAGGGAGGAGGGGGAGCCAAGCAAAGCAGTGTCGGGGGGCACAGGGGCAGCCTTCGGGCAGCAGTGGCTCTCCTAGCGAGCTCTCTGTACTTGCCAGAGGGGCGAGGGCAGGTGCAGGTCTCTGCGGGCCTGCTTGGCCAGGGGTCTTGTGAGGGAGGGGGCAGGGCTGTGGTAGGTGCGCAGCAGAGCCTGGGGAGGGGTCAGAACTCCCCATTTGTGCACTCCCTGGGCCTGCCCGGCCTTGGATCACAGAAGCTGAGGCTTGGGTTTGTGGAGAGGTGCACACAGGGTGGGGGTGGGGGTGCCTGCCACAGTACCCCAGCCCACCTGCCTTCGGAGTCTGCACAGCAGACCGGGTTGGGGGCTCTGAGGACAGGACGTGCTGTGGGTCTGAGCACGGCAGGCTGACCTTGGGGGTCTGTCTTGAACCAAACTACAGAGGTGGGGACTACAGGAAGGGGCCTGGAGCAGAGCCAAAGGGAGGGGTGCCAGGGGCCTGCAGCCACTGGTGTGGCAGGACTGGTGGGGGAGGGGTGAGCACTAGGGGGATTGAGGGCAGGTGCCCCCAGGCTCCTAGCTCCTAGATGTGCCCTTCCCCCTGTCCTCAGCACCCTGGCTCTTTTGAGTATTGGGTGGGCTGCAGGTGAAGGACGGGAGTCACATGGGCCCAAAGAAGGGCTGAGATCTGGCTCTCAAGGTTCTGATGGGGTGCCCCCATCTCCAACTCTGGGACCACTGTCTGCCTCTCCCAGCACGAGGGCCTAGGCTACAGGGGCCGTCCCGCTGTGGGTCTTGGGTCCCCTCCTTCCCTGGAATGTGCCTGCCAGCTGTGTTTCTATGTAAATGGGGTCGGTACCCACTGGCCCAGGCCCTGTTCTCCATAATCAGGGATTACACCCAATCCAGGCTGATCCTGTGCAGCTGCCTGCCTGGTGTGGCTGGCGCTCCCGGTACCTCTGCAGATGCCAGGGTACGTGGATTAGGGCCAGTCTGGAGTCACTGGGGCCCCCCCAGACCCTCTGCCAGCAGCCTGGCCTCCCTGGCCTGCGAGCTTGCCCGAGGAGAGCCAGAGGGAGTGTGGGGGCTCCTGTTCACCTGTGGCACCCCTCCCAAGCCAGACCCTTGCCCACACACCACAGCCCCATCTCCAGAGTCGCCTGCTGACGGTCAGACTGTGCTCTGCTCAGAGGCTTTTCCTCCGGGGAGCCCCTCATGCAGCACGCCCCACGGGCCAGGGTTGGGTCTGGGCAGCAGCCCCTCGGCAGTCTCGCCTTCCCTGTCTGCAGAATGGGTTGGCAGCTGTTTCCCATACACCAGGCTCCACAATTTGTGCCGTGCCCCGACTCTCTCCTGTTTACTTAATACTTTCCCTGTTGCGGATTCTCATTTTTTTTTATTATAGTTTGTTTAAAAACACCCAATACTCTTTCGTTAAGTGGGAGATCAGGTTGACTTGTTGTAGCATGGAGTGACCGTAAATCAGAGTGCCCTGGGAATGAGACAGAGGAACTGTTGCTCAGCCCCAGCAGCAGGGCTGTTGGCTGCGGGCTCTCTGTGGGGGAGGGAGGCTAGCGAGTGTCGGGTGTCTGGACACGCAGGCGCCGCCATCCTCACACAGGCAGAGGGTGCCCAGCTCTGGGGCCTCAGTGGGAAGCCATCTCCATTAAGGTGACGGGAACCTGGGAGGGTGGATAGCATCCTTGCAGCAGAAACGCCCAAGTAGAGGGAAGCCAGGTGATGCAGAGGGACCCCGAATGTCCGATGTTGCCCTGCCCAGGGAGCCCAAGACTGAGAACAGAGAGTGGCGTGTGTAGGGACAGAGCTTTGCTGGTGGACACGGGTGGACATGAGACCTTAGGGTAATGAGCCTGCAGCCCACCTTCCTCGACCCCAGGCACAGAGTTTGGTGGAAATGGGACCTTAGCAGAAGTCAGCTGGGCCTGGAGTGAGGGTTTGTCAAGGTAGGAAAAACTTGCAAGGCAGCGCACGTATGAACCTATACATGCGAACACGCACATATGTGACATATGTGCACATGTGCCCTCCCTCTCACGACACACAAGCCCACACGTGCACCCAACACCTCAGGTATCATGGAGGTCCTCGTGTCTTCACAGTCCAGAACCTGTGCAGCACTCAAGGCCCGCCTAGGCTCGTCCACCCTCCAGGTGGGCATCTGTGGGTGCTGGTGGCAGGGAGAATGGGCAGTCTCACTCCAGGGCTGTGGGCACATGCTTCAGGATACCACGTTCACCCTTCTAGACCCTGCAGTCTGTGCGCTGGGACCTTGGCCCGCAGGTCAGCTCACCCGTGTGCTGTTCCCAGGGGTACTACTCGCTGAAGAGTAGAGACCTGCAGACAGACGCCCCCCTCCAGGGGCAGAGAGCTGGGAGGGAGCCTGTGGGGAGGGGGCCCCGCCTTCAGTGCATTTGCTGCATCCGAGGTTTACCATCAGCACGGTGTTGCTTTAAGAGAGCACCGTGATGTTTGTGCACACGTGCTCACGGCGTGTGTATTCCGGTGTGTATCTGCATGGAGGGTGTTAAGCACCTGCGTCAGGACAGGCGGTCTCTGGGGAAGGGGGTGAAGAACAAAATTTAGGGAAATACACTCACAAGTATACCTGTAAGGTTTTATTTCCCAGCTGTCTTGAAAGTTGTGCTGGTTTGAATCAGCAGGGTGTGCGGCTATATTATTGTCCACTTCTTCCATATGTTTATAATAGTTTGCATGAAAATAAGTTGTAAAGAGACGGAGGGGACCCTGGGGACCAGGCCAGAGGCCAAGCAGGCAGAGCTCTGGCATGGGGGGCGCTGGCTGGACGGGAAATGTGGGGGGGACAGTGGGGGGGGGCC